AATATATAACCGAAAGCGAAAAAAAAAAAGAAAATATCCATGGCTCCTTATTTTTATGTACAAAAATATTTTTAATTTCGTTCATCGGGTTCAAACATCTACCTAGTCAAGCTATGAAAAACCGTGCACTAGTATTTATGTATAATACTTTTAAGAATTGTATTTTAAATATTTTAATAAATTAGTGATTTGAGCAGAGTGTTATAATCTTATCGATTTATTTCTTTTCAGTATAGACTATAATCTATTATTATGGGTATAATATATCAGACCTTGTACAATAATGAAATACATTTTGGAAGATTCTCTCCAAGCCGACGAAGAGTTCGTTGTAACTTTGTACGTTTTTGGCCATTGTTGTTTGCTTATATATTATCTCTCACTATAGCTATACTGGCTCTAGCACCACCAATATTACCATCACAACTATCACAACCACTTTCGGTATCGCAACCCCTTCTAAGCGTTAAACGTTCTTATTAAAACTACGAGCATAGTTGCACCCATTGTCCCGGACGGTTAATTCTTCGACTTTTATTACCACGACCCAGGTATACCTATATATACGTGACAATAGTTTATTTCCATCAGTTTAGGCGATTAATCGGCGTCGTTAACCTCCCGCATAGAATTTCTCGAATAGTCATCCGTCCGGTAAGTTTCATCTTCTTTTCTCTACCTATTCCGTCCACTAAAATTTAACCGAATACAATGACAGACCACCTCCGCTTTCTTAAACACCACCAAAAACGCTAAGACTCTATACTAGGCGTGCGATAGTCATCAGACTGCGTTTAATAGATACGCATACCTATAATATAATACCTTTACCTATATAATAAAATGCTGCCTGCATTTTTTTTTTTTTCAATGTGAGACACTTCTTGTATAATTTATATAAAAATCGTTTCGTTAGTCGATTTTGTGGGTATATCGTGTCAAATGCTCGTTACCCTTAACGCATTTGCAAATAAATTAAAATAAAAACGCACACAAATTTACCAAGAGCATCTTTGCACGCGTTTAAGAAAAAAAATATTTTTTTATATTTTTTTTTGTAAATAATTTTCTACTTTGGATGCATAATATAAACTTGGTGCCATCACGTAACATTCTATGTGCGAAGTAAACACAATTATTATTTTAGTAAAATAATACACCATCGTTTCTCGCTGACAGACAATAAGGTATTGTAATATTTATATACCTATATAATTCTTCTAACCTAACCTTCTGAACGACTTGGCCGTATTTAATAAAAGTTATATCAATAAATAATAAACTTTTAGGTTTTATTATTATTTAGCAACTACTTGTTACAAATTGTTAAGTAGGTAGAAATTAATTAATTATTTACGTTTACCTATGAACGATAACAGTGTTTTGTAATTTACATATCTTATTTTAATATTATTTCGAGTTATGCACACAACATTATTCATTATTATGTTTCATATTCATATTATTAAATATATAATTCGATCAGATTTGTGTTCAAAATTAACATTTTAGTATATATTTATTGGCAGTTTCTAATATGAAAAAAATAAAATAAAGTACATAATATTATGTTACACACAGAATTAACGATATAAATTATGTAGGTACTTAAGTTAAAAATGTTTTAATTTCTTTGGTATTGTTAGTATTAAATTAAAAAAGAAAAAAAAAATGAAGTTCTTAGTTGTGGAATCAACGATTGGTTGAGTACTGTTTCTAGTGAATAATTTCCCGTTCTCATATATGGAAAAAATTCTTACTTTGGTAATGGAAATAGTATAATATTGAAAGAAACTAACACTTCATAAATATAATTTTTTTTTTTTGCACCATTCGAAAGCCCTTGAGAATGGTTTCAATGAGTGTTTAATATCCTTTAGAGTGCAACTTTTAACTAGTATCTTGTATGACGTCTGGATCAATTTTAATCCAAAACGAATTGCGTCAAAAACCAAATAAAACGAAAATCCTTTGAGTTTTTCTTTTCATTTATTCTTTTAATAAAACCCTATGAGACTATCGCAATAAATTGTTTGTCGGAAAACTCTACAAATGCAAGCCTGAAATATTACATACAACGCATCCTATCATGTGTAAAAATAAACATTTTATGTGTAATGAAATTTTTTAAATCTGATCCCTTTATCTTTATTCACAGTTCAATAATTACGATTATAAAATTGTATAATATTATATTATTTTAAAGGAATATATTTTAGACGACGGTGAAGATATACATTCTCCTTTCCATTCAATTTGAATCTATTTCTAATTTCTATTTTTACCTGCAGATTGACTTTAAATTCGTAGTTTTATTCATTTCTCAAACATGATTATATTAACATATTAAAAGATAATATATATGTATAATACATATAAATGTACATATGTTTGTTTTATTCGTCCAATGTATTTTCTTCAGCCATTTACTATTAGGTTGGAAACATATGTGTAAAAATAAAATATTCATCAAAGTCATGGCCGTTAAACGGTCGAAAGAACAGCATTAAACAAACTTCAGAGAATCGTCTGTGCGTCCAGTGTATATTAAATCGTTAAACTGAAACGATAAAAATCTCGATATAAAGAGCACAGCATACACAATATTATAATAAAATATCACGCAGCTTGCAGCTAAGCGTCAACGAAGTAGTACTTAAATTGAATAATATAATATGAATTTATAACAAACTAGCGGGGAAGGGTTAATATACATACGACATATAGGTATGCCAGTTTTGAACTGAAAATTCAAACGATCTTGCGTATAATTTATAATACAATTATAACTACGTACCGAATATATTATATTATATTGCACACGTTTGCACGCTCTTGGATTTGTAAGGCAAAAAATAAAACAACAACAGAAACAAATTAGTGTTTTCTCTAAGAAACATTCAAATAAAATGTTTAATATGTGTGATGTAAGTGATATATGGGTGAGAGTATGAAACGTGGATTGTTGTAAAGAGGGTGAAGATTTGGGGGCAATTCGTAAAACTTAATTACACTTGGAACCAAACCAAATATATGAAGAAACGTGCGCGAAAACTCTATGCCCCATGACTGACTAATAACAAGTTATGTCTATTAGTTAACGAGGTTGTGGTGCAAAACGAGATTAGCTAAATAAGTTTAATTGCCAAAACTCGGTCGCTGTATTTGCACAAGTGTGTTCTGTATTCGCATTACGTTCAGGTACGCGAATTTAGACGGCGTTACAAGTCGTAGCATATAACTGAAACCATCATTCCATGAAATCAATAATAATAAGTAATGACACTCAACAAATAGTTATAAAGCTAAATTCAATAGTTAAACGTAAATACGACTTTCAAAATATTATGTATTAAATAATAATGCAAAGCTATCGTAAATTTAGTCTTGTGGTCAATTTAAGTAAAAAATTAATACTTTAAGTACACACCTTAATCATAAACGTTAATATGTGTACAGTAGGCGACTTTATAAATATTATTTTTGTGATGAATAACAATATTTCATTTTGAAAGTAAATTTGAATTTTAACGTATAATAGACTATAATATTTTATCAACAAAACTATAAACTTTGCATGAGATTTGAACTTAATAACGTCGTCGTATTCAAATCGTGTTATATTATACAGCGTCAGAGTCTCAGACGAAGTTCAACCACCGTTATTATAAAAATGTATTGTTATTTGTTATTTTGCATACAAAGTCATTTGTATTTTCGAAAATATATTTGTGTTAATATTAGTAATAACACGTTGTCGAAGGTACGGAAATAGCATATCGTGTTCTATACTTAATAATTATTTAATAATACTTAGCATAACGACCATACATATATTTATTTTTTATGTTTACATGAAAGCATTATCACGTCTGAGGTAATAATAATATTTTAAAAGCCACCTGGGGTAGTGCAGTGCAGCGGTAGTTTCCATAGATCGTAGAAGTTCATTGGAATCGAATTCAATGCACTCGTGCTGTTTATTTGCCTATCCATCTCGCCGGCGTATATAAAAATTCAATAAAATATTACGAATTAACAATACTATTTATGTATTTTTTTTTTAAATTTTAATTGGTATTAAACTATTATTAACCGTGGTAATTATTAATACCATCATAATCTTATTTTTAAATAACATTTTATAAAAACCGTATATTTTATAGTATTATATTAAATTTAATGATTAACGTATTGTCGTCGAGTATTCGGAACACATACACACATATACCAATAGTCATAATATTATTATTATTAGTATTTTACATTACAGCAGCGTTTCAATGCCATTGTCTCACGAACATAGCTCTTAACGTGGATAATATAAGCCACTTAACTAATTTACATCGAACGCAAAGGGTCGCAATATTCGTGTCTTAATTTATATGGTGTATAACGACAATTCAATTAACCACTTTATCGTCGGTGTTATGGGAATACAACGAGAACCCGAGATTACTGCCGTCCGTATATTATTATATTATAATATATATATATATATATTGGTGTGGTAAAATTGGAATAATTAATTAATATCGATTATTGCCATCGTTATTATTATTATTACTACTACGATTATTATTGTGATGTAGTATGTTCGAGGCGGGTAACTTTTGAGCCGTCGCAACGATTCACCCGGATCCGATCCTGTGAACCGTCGCCGTCTCTATGATCGTATGTGTTCATCACTTATCTGAAAATTTATTATTATAGCTCCCACTTTTATTCGTTATTTTTACTTTTAAAAATACAACGTCATCTTATGCGCACGCGAGTTTTTTTAGGTTTCATATAATTGACATATTAAAATCATGCATTTATAACGCCCATAATAGTTTTGCTATGTGAACGCCACACGCCGAGCATTTTTATTATTTATATACACTATATATGTATTTCAATTCACTGTTATTCAACCATTATTAATGCACACCCAACGTATTTCCTTATATACATATTTAAATGTTTTCATTAAATGTATCAATTTTTTTTTTTTACAGGTTTCGGTTTCGTGACTTTCCACTCGGAAGATGTAGTAGATAAAGTCTGTGAAATACATTTCCACGAAATCAACAGTAAAATGGTAAGTTCTCTATTAAAATTACCACGATGCCATTATCATCAAATACAAACCTTATTTGTATTTTTTTTTTTAATTTTTATTTATTAAATAATTTTTTAAATTTTTTCTTTCATACGTATATTTAATTTTACAATCTAAATTCATAAATTGTTAATTATGTATAACATATACAATATTTATTATTCGAATATGATGAGACAATCAATAAAATATAATTATCTTCTCGATTTAAATCAATTATAATTAATTCATAAAATTAAATATATATTAAGATTATTATTTATTACCAATACATAATATTAAATGCTTGTGTATTAAATATAAATCAACGTAATAGAAATTATAATGATATTGTAAACTATCTTCTCTTTAGTTATCCGCATCCCTAATATTATATATCATCATCGTATCTTAATCTTCTGGAGTGAAAAGTATTAAATATTACGTTGGATTCTTGCAGTGTAATGGATACCATAAAATTATTTTGATATACTGCGTAGAAACAAAACGCTGATTGCATACGCATTAGAATGGCATAATATAATACAACTGAGCATCACGTGTTTTGTCACCATATAATAACATGCGATATTTCAATATATATTACGAAATAATAATTGAAGTATTGCAAGTTATTCAAATACTCATTAGTATTAGGAAGAGTGTATACATTTTTTCGCAAAACGTAATTCCACTTATATATTACAATATAAACGCTGTTATTATAATTTAGCTGTATATCTAAAATATCCGTGCGCATAATATACACATCACGTTGTGCGTTACATTTTATTCTTTACAATAAACTACCTACTTACATTTTCCAGACTTAATTGCGCTTTCTGTACTGTTCGGTGAATGAATACATGCCGCAAAATAACGAAAGTTGTTTTTTCGTATCTTCCGTTTTCTGTACTCTTTGAAAGAATTATAACTCGACAAGGGTCTTATACGTAGGTAGATAATAATTAACTATATAATAATTCACAAGCTTTTTTATATCAAATATTTTGAAGTATCATATTTGCGTACAATATAGTATGCATCGCATAGCCGTTATTGTAGTCGTGATAGGTTTACTTGTATCACAGTAAATTTGCGTCCGACTTTTGAAATACTTGTTCTTGTGGTTCCACGCATGAAAATATAAAACGAACTATATATTGCGTTTACTGAGTAGTTTCACTCCACCTAAGCCAGGATCCCCAACAATATTATTCGGGAAAATTATGTCATATTCGATCACTCTCCAATATCCATAAATATTTTATATAATATATATAGTATATACCTACGCATATGTTGTCCCCAGAAACCGAACTTTTCCATTTTCGAAACAATCTCAAATAATATTTATATGCGCTCGTACTATTCGATTATATATTTCTATTAGGCATTCGTAACGATACAACTTTGCAGGGTAACAGATAGCTTTACACTACAGAGAACTCGTACATATATTTGCATGGTTTTCTCCTATGTATATCGGCGGTCGTCTTTTTGACAAATACGTGAACCATTCCGCATTATAATATGACATAATGTAATCCATTTTGAAAACTGTTTCATGTCCGGTATGACACAAATCCCATACCATTATGTAATGTATATCTGTATACATAATATATGAATATCCGATTGATGTGTGATGGCAGTGGTGGTGATAGTGATAGCGGTGGTGGTGATAGAACTCCGATACGTACTTCGAGTATAAAGTAGTCCTCTCCTCCCGTTATTGACCCTAGGTTAAATAGACGCAATATAGGTAAAATACAATGCAACGGAGAGGAGTTAAAAAACAAGTTTGTGATCATGTATAAATGTACAATATATAGAGGACAAAGTACATGTACATATTTTAATATAATTAAATTGTATAAAAAATAAACTTTTTTAACCAAATAACTGTCAAAACAATGTTATATCGTTTTTTTTTTCTTTGTATACTTTTTATTTTCAAATCTACTTGCTTCGCGCACACTGACATCGATAGGTATGTCCACCACATCCCCCTTCCGTTAAACCGTATCTTGCATATGTGATACGTCTGGGGTCGAAAGAAAGTATAAAAAAATTAAAGCTGAAGTATAATATTTCTCGTAACGAGTTATTAATGCGTAAAAGCATTAACCGCGAAGATCGAGTACGGTCGCCACCGGATGGCTGTAATCTTCAGGAAAGGGTTGTAACTACCCTACGTGGTATTAGTGGAAAGCTAGCCGCCGAAGTCGTTGTCGTTTTTTATTTTCGTT